ATCCTCATTATAATGCAATAATTTATTTATTCCTTTTTACTGAGATCAGAAACTGGCTTCCAAAACCATCTCTACACTTGAGGAAAATTCATGGCTGCTATAGGAGTTTATTCACATAATGAAAATAAGCTTTTCTAAACAAATATGCACCATTTGGAGACACCTTCTTTTTTGTTCTTATTAAATGTTTTGTTCCTCTGCTGGGTGTCAACTGCAGGTTAAGTGAAAATACAGTAAACGGTGGACTGTAATTTAACCTACCATAAAAAGAAAGTTAACGATTATAATATAATTTAACCTTTTCTTACAGACCAACTATTGATTTTGCTTTAATGTCTTCCTTGGCCTTTCAGTAGGTCTGCCCAGAGATGGGGACTCGAGTTTGTGACTCGTACTCGAGTCGCACTTAAGTCGCATATTAAATGACTTCAGACTCGACTTAGACTCGTGATTTCCGACGTGTGAACAATATTTTATTCCAGTGTAAAAACACTTATTCAAGTGTTTTTTGTTTTACTAACTTGATTGATCGCCGCTCGCCTTACCCGCACACAGAAGACGTAAAAAAAAAAAAAAAAAAAAAAAAAAAAAACCCTCAAAGACCCAAACCGTGAAGCACTCAAGTTCAAGTGTTTTATTTATACAAAAAGCCACGGCAAACAGTCCTTTTCTTCTCCTGATAAAACCTAAAATTCAAGAGTTTTCCTTAAAAATCACAGGCTGGAAGTTGGGCTCCGCTTGTTATGCTGCTTCTGGTGCGAGTGATCGGCCTGCAGCACCCACTGGCTGATCCACAGACTCTGCGGCGCTCCAGCACTGTTCCACTCCCTGGCGTGCCAAACCCCTTTCCAGACCGATCCAGCTAAAAAGAGAAGCAAGGAGAACGCCAGCATCCACGCGCCAAAACCCCGTCGGAAGATATATTCCTGTTTATGCTTTAAGCGAGGGGGAGCGCTACTTACAGGCGAGGTTCCTCCTCTGCCCTAATACTTCTTACTGGGCCATCTGTGCACCCTCCTGGCGCACGGATCCCACCTGCATCTCCCCTGGCAGCGCGTCCGTCTCTGTCACCTGCAGATTCCGTTCTCCTTTCCTTCAGACTCCTTTTATGTCGGCTTTAATCAGCCCTTGCTCACACCTGAGCGCAGCATTACGCAGCGCAATTAATGCACTCCGCCTCCTCAGACAACTACTTCAGTCCAGTGCGCATGGATTGTCACAAGGGAAAAACAAACCAAAACAACCCAACATGCAGGAAAAATTCAAAAGTCTAAAATAAAGGAAAACAATCATATAAAAAAGAAACATCAAAACATGCAAAGCTCAAGAAGAAAATACAAAGAAAAACAAATCATATCTTCCTCTCCAAACATGCAAAGCATAAAACTAACATTTAAATGAAAGAAAACCATAAATCATATTTTTCCCCTGTGCAACACACTGACGTCACTGACGCAACAGTACGTGGACGGCAGGATTTCGATTGTTTTTTTTTCCACAGTCCTCATTTTCAATAAAAGAGCAGACATTTACTGCTAAAACTAGAAAAAGTTGTAACCACAAATGTCAGGTAAATACTGTAAGAAAATGCAAAATTTATCTGGAAAAAAATTTTGCGTGTGCTTTTTTTAATTGTATTTTACATTTAGCAGTTCAAGATAATGATAATTCCATAGATATAATAGCGACCTTTAAGCTATACCGTCTCAGTGACGGAGATGAAAACACAAGGAGAAACAAGCAAGCACGAAAATTATTGCACTTTTTTAAATGAATCAAGTGATTAGAATTTTTTGTGCGATTAATTGATTATTGCGACAGGCCTTCTCAAGACTTGAGACTTGACTTGGACTTGAGCTCTCAAGACTTGAGACTTGACTTGGACTTGCAAAAAATGACTTGTGAACATGTCTGGGTCTGCCTTTAACTACCTTCTTTAACTACCTTCCCATATTGTTTGTTTTTGGTCCAGATTTTAGACACGCTGACTGTGAACAACCAACGTCTTTTATTGCATGATGATTTAGCTTCTTTGAAGGGTTTGATGATCTTCTCCTTTATTTCAATCTCTGGTGTTGGAGCCTGATTCATGTCTGTCTACCTGGTGCAGCAGCTCTCCAAGGTGCCATCGCTCCATTTTAAATGCAGACTAACCAGCAGGTCTGATTTGATGCAGGTGTTAGATTGGAGGATTGATTCCAGACTGATTCCATAATTGTTTCCCCTTTGTTTGGTCCAAGAAAGTAACCGTTACTGACAACCACTTTTTTCCCTTGATTTCTTTCAGTATTTCTTAAAGCCAGGCAGTTGCTATTTGAAAGGAATTTAGTTTTGTATCATGTCTGTGATCTGCTTTTTTTCCCCCTACAAAATTAAACAAGTGAACGAACGTCCTCTGAGGAGCTAATTCCATTATTTTTACCAGGAGTTGTAATTTAACATGTTAGGCCTCACTGTGTGGCAAGAAATGCTTGCAATGAGTGTTTAAAACTAAACTAGCAGCATATCTACACCGTATTTATGACCCATATGAGGCGAGTCTTATAGTAAAATATTATTTCTTGTTCCAAAAAACATTTTATTCAAAGAAAGAGAAATAATTTGCTCAGGAATGCCTCCTAAATAAAACTCACAATTTGGAATACTACCATACTTAAAAAGCAGTTCAAAATAAGCAAACCCATTAATTAGGCTTACAGATGAAAGTAATCCATACCAAATATTAATAGTAAGAAGCTGAGACATATAGTGGCATGAAAATACAGAAGAATAAGACAAATGGAGGAAAAAGTAGGATATATTGTGATGATAATTCTTAAACTAGACAAACCTCAAAAGTTTAATTAAATAGGACATACCTAAAGTTATCAAGAAAACAACATCTGATGCTAAAATATATTTTTCAAAGAACTTTTTGTGTAATTTTTGCATTTATTGAATTGTATTATTTGAGGTCTGGGCCTGAAACATTAATAAGAGGGGCGCGACGTCGGATTAATAATCAATAAATATCAGTTTAACATAATTCCGGCATTAAACCTCCCCCACACTTGGTGGCGCCATTGAACACCAGCAGGCTCTTATTTTGGTAGGGAAGGTTTCCCTCGGCGGAAGTAAAACCTGCAGGACGCGCACGCACTTCGCTAAATGAGAAAGAAAAAGGATTAATTTGTTTCGGCAACTTTAAAATCAAACTATTTCACCTTCGGTTGTTGTTGTTTTTTTTCTATAAATGAGCAAACATGGCGATCACTTTGGTAAGATTAGCAGCAAAGCTAACATATAACTGTTAGCCAAACCGCTAGCATATCTTTCCTTCACAACATTTCGATCAGTTATTTAAAAACTATCCAGTTTCTTCATGTTTTCTTCATATATTTCATTTGTTTTCTGTGTTTGTAGGATTTCCGGACCCACGCGGATCAGTCCTGCAGATATGCTGAAGAGTTTGTTAACATTTATTATGACTGTGTGGACAAGAAAAGGAGGGTGAGCCTCTTTTTATTTGATTTACTAAACTCACATGTTTCAGGGGCAAACAGCGACCTAACGAGGAGTTTTTGTTATTTTAAAAGCTGCTTTTACTATTTTTTTTCCAAGCAGGAAGGAGAAGCATCATTTTCAACAAGCTGTTCGGTAGTGATGAGGATTAGGGCCACTAATAGATAAAAATCAGATTTTTACATTTTATTTCAGTTTAATATAATGAAAAAAGTCAGAATTCAGACTTTTTATATAATTTCTGGAGCTGCTTAATCCAGTTTTTTCGGTCTAACAATATAAGTTGATATTAAAATAACATCTCAGCAGGTGTAACAGTTTATTTCTCTATAATGGTTTAATGTCATGATGGCTGAAGGGAAGTGAATCCAGACGCTGCTTTCTGCTCTGACATCATGTCCGTCTCTCCAGAACCTGACCCGCCTCTACCTGGACAAAGCCACCTTGGTGTGGAACGGGAATGCCGTTTCAGGACAGGACGCCCTGGGCGAGTTCTTTGAGTCTCTGCCATCCAGCGAGTTCCAGGTTCTGACTCTGGATTGTCAGCCGGTTCACGGTCAGTAGAGTCATATCAACATGTTCTGTTTTAGGCCCATGAGTAGAGAACTGCTTCAGGGTCCTGTCACACCTTAAAGATTTACCAGTTTCTGCCTGACGTCCCAGAATCCCCTAAAACGCTGGCAGACGCTGAACTTTCTATGGGTTTCTTTTTCCATTTTTGGCGTAAACATAGAGTATTAATAACGAGTCCAGAGCTTCTGTCCAACGACAGCCTAATGTCTGTATAACGCACAGCAGCGTGATGCCCATCATATGATGCACAATCATCATTTCATGGGCATTATGAAGCATCAGTTAAAGCTGCTCCCCTCAGGAGCAGTGGAGGCACCCAGTCTGCATAAAAAGATCTTTGATCGCGGTATTTACCCAGCTGCTGTTTACCGCCCGCCCCCAGAATAAAGGATAAATAAAAATAAAAATAGTTTGCAGTCACAGCAGATTGAGCGTCATGTCTGCTAGGAAGTGTGTTGGTGGTGGGCGTGAACGCAGGGAGGATCCATCACTCACCTTCTGGCTCACCCTATGATGGGGATGAAGTCTGGAGGAGAACTGACGGTTTCCTCCTGTGAACCCCCTTTATACCAAAACGCTGCCAATACGCCATTATACAGTAGCTGGAAGTTAGAAACACGTTCAGCGCTCGTCTGGAACACGGCAGATACGCTGATATGTTGGAGAGAAGTTCTGGATAAGTTACGCAGACGTTACTCAGAGGTTTAGGATCAGCTAGACGCCACGAATGATGAGGAACTGACACTGAACGGATGTCGACCATCAGATAACTGACCTGGAACTGATGGCAGACGCTGACATACGTTGAGAAAATTGTATGTCGACGTGTTTTGGCGTGCTTCAACGTACTCATAACTTATCCACCGTATGCCAGCATTTTGGACAGACTTTCAGTATGTCAGACATACGCTGGTCTAAATCGTCGGGTGTGACAGGAGCTTTTCTTCCTATGGTGGCGTTTACATGCACAGAGAAGAGGTGTTAAACGCTTGAAATCAGCAGAAATTCTATTCAGTTTATTTCTATAGCTCCAATTCACATCATGTCATCTCAGGTCACTTTCCAGTTCAACCAGATGCATCCAGTCAGATTGATTCAAAGTTTTCTATCTAAGGAAAACCAGCTGATTGCATCGACTCATTGACTCTTCAGCAATCCCTCACACTAAGCATGCTTGTAGCGACAGTGGAGAGGAAAAACTCCCTTTGAACAGGAAGAAACCTCCAGCAGAACCAGGCTCAGTGTGAGCGGCCATCTGCTGAGGCCCACTGGGGTTCAAGGAGACAGAAGCAGACATAGAAAAAGAAGCATAGATACAAAAGGCAACTGTCAACCAGCTCCACAGGCGGCCCCGTCCAGGAAACACACAGCCAGGCAGACGAGCTCCGAGCCAGCTCCCATGTCAGAGGATGAAGAGAGCACATCCAGTTAGTCACAGTCAGAGAAACAGGACTACACTGGAAAACAGGCCAAGCTCCAACATCTAGAAACAAAGGTGTTGATGGCAGCAGCACAGCTGATATTTCTCTCCAGGATGGAGTCACAGCCAAACAGGAACAGACCAGATGAAGCTACTATGAGAAAAAGCAGAGAGAGCAGAACGTTAGAGATTGAACTAACAGATTCTGCAGAGTGGGAGAATAGAGATAGAATGAAGCAGAATGATGAAAAAGGGGTCCCTATGTCCTCCAGCAGTCTAAGCCTATAGCAGCAGAACTATAGAGATAGCTCAGGATAACCTGAGCCACTCTAACTAGAAGCTTTATCAAAAAGGAAAGTTTTAAGCCTAGCCTTAAAGTAGACAGGGTGTCTGCCTGTGTGTGAGAATAGAGATAGAATGAAGCAGAACGGTGAAATCATGAGACGCTTCCTCAGAAACGGCTTCTTTGTATCGTTCTCCTTTTGCAGAACAAGCCACGCAGGGCCAGACCACGCTGCTGGTGGTGACGTGTGGGATGGTGAAGTTTGAAGGGAACAAACAGCGTTTCTTCAACCAGAACTTTCTCCTCACAGCCCAGGCTTCACCAAACAGCGATCAGCCCGTCTGGAAGATCGCCAGCGACTGTTTCCGATTTCAAGACTGGAACAACTGAGCTGAGTTTTACCTCAGGCTGTTGCTTTGAAACCCGCAAAACCAGCATCAGTTACATTTTAGCAGGTTTTTGTGTTTTTATCTGTAAAATTTAGAAAATGTCGAAATAAATGTGGATCATTTTTGTTCAACTGTTGATAGAAAACAACAAAGAAGCAACTTTTGATCGTTTTGAAGCATAAATCAGAATGAGGGGAAAAAGCTTTTCTTTGTGTGGATTAGTCATTTCCTGGGTCTGCATATTATTATTTAACTGCTTCCACAGTTTGACTAGTTTTCTTCCAAACAATATTATGACCAGTTTAAAACTTTATTGTTATCAGGGGACAAAAAAAACAACATTTAAATGGTGAATTTTATCTATTTTTTAAGTTATTTCGGCCATTGATGCAGCTCAATGCAGGACTTTCCTACTCGCTTGGTCTTAACTGCTCTTATCTCCTTCGGTTTAACTTTGTGGGATGTTTTTCGCTGAACTTTGAAAATAAAAACTGTTTCCAGGAAAACCCAAACATCATCTCCCTTAATTGATTAGACTGAAAAATACTGAGAACAAACTCAGGACTGTCAGGACTGGAAAAAGACGATAAGAAGGTTTTAATGTCATTATTTAAGGTTTTGTTTGTATCCTTTCAAACTTTGCTTTATTTGTCTCTTATTATTATTGATTTCTAAATGTAAAGTTAAAGGAATGATAAAGAAATGGTCTTTTTACGTTGCTATGTGATTAAAAGTGAGAAAGTAATATTTTCTCTCAGAATTAGAAGTTGTTTTCCACAGAATAGATCCTGAAAATCAGAATAAAGGAACGAATAACTGAACATCTGGGATTAAAATAGTTTTTAAAGCCACTAAGTAAATTTTAAAGGAAAAGTCGGTCAGCGAGGAATAATCAATGGATCATTATTTATACCTAAAACTAATACGTTCGCGGTAATTTAATGAATTTAGTGTTAATCAGTAAAAAAAAAACCCATAATTTTCATCATCAGTGATTCTGGGAGCGGCCATTTTTAGCGCCATTCTCCTGCTTTACAGCAAAATCAATGGGAACTATCAGACACATCTGCAATCAACAACAATTATTGAACATTTCCAAACCAGTAGGTGGCAGTAGTGTTCTTTGACAAACATGGATGCCTCCAGTAAAGCACATTCACATGAAAATGACTCTGAATTAAAAACACTGATCATTTATTGAACAGGATGGAATCATTTCACATTTAAAGAACTTTCAGAAGTTTTTATTCTGAATATGAGCGACTTTTCCTTTAAAAGTCCTCCGGCTTCTTTCCATTTTCTTTCCTCCAGCTTAATCCTGAGATTATTTCATCTTGTAATGTAAATTATTGAGGACTATTATTCCTATCCGGATCTTAACAAATCGCATTCCAAAGTATTCTCTGTTTCAACACTTGGGACTTTTGGAGTGGATTGAAATTTACAGCTTAAAGGTATGAGTGGAAATATTCTGCTGAGAGGCAGTGAACCAACGGAGGGAGACGCAGCGGATCCAGAAAGTTGCTGCTGTGCTGATAAGTTCATTTACGTCACCAGTGCTACTATGAGTCAGTGGTGTGTCCTGCCAATAAGATACCCTGTTGCATCACTGCTTATTGCTTCAGTTGGTGTAAGCACACAGCTTTAAACACTCCCATTAATAATGATCCGGATCAAACTTCCTCTGCAATAACCTTCCAACAATCCAAGCTTTATTTGGCATCAGTGTGTTTTCCAGCACGGCGTGACGTCATTAGACTAAAGGTCTAACAAAGAAGCTCTAATATGAGGCTGGTGGAATACGGTGAGTGGTTAGGAAATTCCCAGCATCATTACTTCTACAGTCAGTTTTCATCATATAAACAGAAGCCAACATATTAGTGTCACCTTAAAGCAGAAAAGATTTGCACATCGTTAATCACTGAAAGTGGAAATTCCAGGAGTTAGGATAATGTCAGCACTAAAGTATCCCTATTTAGTTATAAAATAATAATAAAAAATGTGAAATATTCAATTCAGTTTAGAAATAATTGATCACTATGTAATGAAATGTTTTTCTTTTGTATACCACTCAATCCCGACGATGTCGGCCATTTTTTATCTTTAAGTTGATGTCTTCGTTAATCCACTCACAGCCCAAACCTTCTGAAGTTATAGAACTGCTAACTCCCAGTGAAAGCTCAAACATATGCTTCCCATTTTATTAAAAACACGACGACCCATTGTGTCCTTAATAATCCTTTATAGCCAGTGGTAGAAAGTGGCAGATAGCAGCCCTTAGGACTGTTTTCCAGTGTAGTCCTGTTTCTCTGACTGTGACTAACTGGATGTGCTCTCTTCATCCTCTGACATGGGAGCTGGCTCGGAGCTCGTCTGCCTGGCTGTGTGTTTCCTGGACGGGGCCGCCTGTGGAGCTGGTTGACAGTTGCCTTTTGTATCTATGCTTCTTTTTCTATGTCTGCTTCTGTCTCCTTGAACCCCAGTGGGCCTCAGCAGATGGCCGCTCACACTGAGCCTGGTTCTGCTGGAGGTTTCTTCCTGTTCAAAGGGAGTTTTTCCTCTCCACTGTCGCTACAAGCATGCTTAGTGTGAGGGATTGCTGAAGAGTCAATGAGTCGATGCAATCAGCTGGTTTTCCTTAGATAGAAAACTTTGAATCAATCTGACTGGATGATCTGGTGAACTTTAAAGTGCCTTGAGAAGAAATGTGTTGTGAATTGGCGCTATAGAAATAAACTGAATAGAATTGAATCTACACGCCACTGTTTTAGAGATTTAGTGATGTTCCACAGATGTGAGAAATTGTAGTTTATATATTTCATTAAGCTGTTAGTTGTTGCCATGTGACCAAGTTAGTTCTCACATCAGAGTCACAGTTTCACTATTCCTCAATGAAAGTCTGAGAAAAATCAACTTTCCTGTTTGTTTGTTTTTAAATAAGAAATAATAATCTAAAATCTGTCCTAGTTCTTTGTCATATTTTTGCTGCAGTTCTTTCCAGGTGGTGTATAATCTATAGCAGGTGGTTCTACGCATCAACACATCAGGAGGTTTCTGAAAGTTACAGATTCTTTAAAATTTGTCTGAAAATTATACAGAAATGTTCTGATATTAAAACATTTAATAAGTATTTTTGAATACTTAAGTACTTTTAAAGGCATGAACTAGTAATTTCTAAAGTGAGCGCTTCAATACTATAACTTGAGTAGATTATTGACTGAGTAACGTTTCCCAGCAGTTGAGTAATATCTGACTATAAGTATCAATACTTTCACTCAAGTATTACTGGTGAGTACTTGGTCCATCGCCGTCTATAACAGACATTACATCATAGCTTACGGTTGTATTATAACTTCCACAGTAACGCTGCAACTAATGATTATTTAGCAAATTAATCAGTCAATTATTTTTTCAGTTAATCAGTTAATAATCGGATAGCCAAAGGGTCCTTAAGGAAGATTTTTTTACGAAATAAAAACGGGTGAAATTCAAACTTTTCCACTTAAAGTTCTGGATAAAGAATACTTTTTTAAATTTATTTTTATTTATTTTTTTCCTACTTGCTTTGATTCTGTTTTATCTTCCTGTATTTTAATCATGTAAAGCACTTTGCATTGTCTTTGTACTGAATTGTGCTATACAAATAAATTTGCCTTGCCTTGCCTTGCCTTGACGGATGAAACTGTTTTTATCTTAAATGCAAAATGGTTATATGTATTTTTATTTTATTTTTTACAATCTTGGTATAATTGCTGCTCTGTCAGCTGAAGGCATGTTTTACACTCTATACTCCAGTTAATGATTAATAGATTGCTAAATTAGCTGAGGATTATTTAAATTATTAACTATTCAACCGTTTAGTCCAGTTGAATAAACGGAGATCGATGGATTTCACTTTATGTTTGCAAAGAGAGAACCGTTCATCATACAGCTCTTATTGCACGGTAATCAGCCCTGTTCTGATCCAGCAGCGTTTGTGGAAATTAGTCAGAGTTAAAACAAATTATAGACACTTTAAACAGTAACATGTTATGAATAAACCTTGAGAAAGAATCTGGTTTGTTATGGGAATAAGTGTCTTGTCCACAAACAGCCTCACTAAGGCAATGTGTGACTTTGCAGGTGAAATAGACCGAGTGAAAAACTCTATTCTGAGTAAATAAAATATATAAAATAAAAGAAACTAAATTTTCTGACCACATAGATTAATCTCATCAGTTGTTTCAGGCCTAATCCAGATTTGAAGGAGGTCTGATCAGGAAGTATCAGAATTGCTTCATCAGTAATAATCATCTTTGTAGGCAGATTGTTTACCTTTTAATGACTTTTTAATTAATCAAAATACCAACATAAAGCTAAGCTGATCATTATTAAAGTGTGGTGTTCATGTTTGGGTGGCGTCTCTCACCCGGCAGGTTTTGGGGGCGTGGCTTAGCCTTTTGTTGCTCCTTCTTTCTCACCACAAAAGAATAAGTTTGGTTTTCAATTCAATTCAATTCAGTTTATTTATATAGCGCCAAATTCACAACACGTCATCTCAAGGCACTTTACAGTTCAACCAGATCATACAGTCAAATTGATACAAAGTTTTCTATCTAAGGAAAACCAGTTGATTGCATTGACTCATTGACTCAAATACAATCCCCCACACTAAGCATGCTTGTAGCGACAGTGGAGAGGAAAAACTCCCTTTTAACAGGAAGAAACCTCCAGCAGAACCAGGCTCAGTGTGAGCGGCCATCTGCCGAGGCCGACTGGGGTTCAAGGAGACAGAAGCAGAGATACAAAAAGCAGCTGTAAAAGGCGGCCCCGTCCAGGAAACACACAGCCAGGCAGACGAGCTCCAAGGCAGCTCCCATGCCAGAGGACGAAGAGAGCACATCCACTCAGTCACGGTCAGAGAAACAGGACCACACTGGAAAACAGGCCGATCTCCAACATCTATTAACAAGGGTGTTGATGGAAGCAGCACAGCTGATGTTTTTTTCCAGGATGACGTCACAGCCAAACAGGAACAGACGAGGCAAAGCTACTCTGAGGAAAAGCAGAGAGAGCAGAAGGTTAGAGATTGAACTAACAGATTCTGCAGAATAGGAGAACAGAGAGAGAATGAAGCAGAATGATGAAATGGGGGTCCCTATGTCCTCCAGCAGTCTAAGCCTATAGCAGCATAACTATAGAGATAGCTCAGGATAACCTGAGCCACTCTAACTAGAAGCTTTATCAAAAAGGAAAGTTTTAAGCCTAGCCTTAAAAGTAGACAGGGTGTCTGCCTCACGGACTAAAACTGGTAGTTGGTTCCACAGGAGAGGAGCCTGATAACTAAAAGATCTGCCTCCCATTCTACTTTTAGAAATTCTAGGAACCACTAGTAAACCTGCACATTGAGAGCGAAGTGCTCTGTTAGGAACATAAGGAACAATCAGATCTCTGATATAAGATGGAGCTTGGCCATTTAAGGCTTTATATGTGAGAAGGAGGATTTTAAATTCTATTCTTGATTTAACAGGAAGCCAATGAAGAGAAGCCAGGATAGGAGAGATATGATCTCTCTTTTTCATTTTCATTAGAACTCTGGCTGCAGCATTTTGGATCAGCTGAAGGCTTTTAACTACAGTTTGTGGACTTCCTGATAGTAAAGAATTACAATAGTCCAGCCTTGAAGTAACAAATGCATGGACTAGTTTCTCAGCATCACCCCTGGACAGGAGATTGCTCATTTTTGCAATGTTCCTCAGATGAAAGAAGGAAATTCTACAAACCTCTTCTTCATCTGGGATTTAAATGACAGGTCCTGATCAAAAACAACACCAAGATTTTTTACTTTATTATCTGAAATCAGTTTAATCCCATCCAAATGAAGTGACTGACTAATCAGCTTCTTTTTCAGAGACTCTGGTCCAAAGACTATAACTTCTGTTTTGTCTGCATTCAGAAGCAGAAAGTTAAGAGTCATCCAGGTTTTTATGTCTTCAGAAATGCCTGTAATCTATGTAATGGGTTAGCTTCATCTGGATTATAGACAGATATAGCTGGGTATCATCAGCATAACAGTGGAAATTAATCCCATGCTGTCTAATAATTCTACCAATTGGGAGCATGTATAAAGTAAAGAGAATTGGTCCTAGCACTGATCCCTGTGGTACTCCACAGGTAACCTTTGAGCGTGTTGAAGATCTATCATTAACATGAACAAACTGAATTCGATCAGATAGATAAGATTTAAACCAGTCTAGTGCTGTTCCTTTAATTCCAACAAAATATTCAAGTCTTTCTAAAAGAATATTATGGTCAACTGTATCAAATGCAGCACTAAGATCCAACAGGACGAGCACAGATACAAGTCCATTATCTGAGGCCATGAGAATATCATTAGTGACTTTCACCAGAGCTGTTTCAGTGCTATGATGAGCTCTAAAGCCAGACTGAAACTCTTCAAAAAGTTCATTATGGTGGAAGTGATCGCAAACTTGTTTGGCAACTACTTTCTCAAGAATTTTGGATAAGAAAGGAAGATTGGATATAGGTCTATAATTGACCAAGTCATCTGGGTCAAGAGACGGTTTCTTAAGCAGAGGTTTAATTACAGCAATCTTAAAAGCTTTAGGTACATATCCCTGTAACAGAGATAGATTAATCACATCTAAAATGGAGGAGGAGATCAAAGGGAATACCTCCTTAAATAACCTGGTTGGAACTGGATCTAACATACAAGTTGAAGGCTTAGATGAAGACAATAATTTTGCTAATTCAGAGAGTTCAACTGGATCAAAGCAGTCTAAACCCGGTTCAGATTCCATGACTACCTCAGGTACAATCGCGGATAGAGGAGTGCTTATGATCTTATTTATAAAGAATCCCATAAAATCATTGCTGCTAAGAGCAGGTGGAATGGACGGTTCAACAGAGCTATGGCTCTGGGTGAGTTTGGCAACTGTATTAAAAAGAAATCTAGGATTATTCTTATTCTCCTCTATTAATGAGGAGAAGTATAATGCTCTTGCTTTACAAAGGGTCCTCTTATACAGCAGTAAACCATTTTTCCAGACTAGGAAGGACTCCCGCAGGCCTGTGGAGCGATATTTTCTCTCCAGTTTCCTAGCATTTTGCTTCAAAGTACGCAGTTCTGCATTAAACCAAGGAGCAAGCTTTCTATTTTTAACGGTTTTCATTTTCAAAGGAGCTGCGTTGTCTAAGGCAATACGCAGAGAACTAGCAACCCCCTCAACAAAATCATCAACCTGTGAAGGAGAATAAGCTAAGCTTTTGCACTCTGCAGCACTGCTCAGTGACACAGAGCAGAGAGAAAGTGAAGCAGATTCTTTAAAATTTATAACTGCACTATCTGATAAAGATCTACTAAAATTGAATCTTCTTTTGGGGGAGGAGAACTCTGTTAAAGTAATCCTGAAGGTTATTAGAAAGTGGTCAGAGAGGACAGGGTTGTGAGGAAATACTGTTATTTCTTCACATTCTATGCCGTATGTCAGCACAAGATCCAAAGTATGAAGATGAGAATGCGTGGGACTATTCACATTTTGAACAAAGCCAATAGTGTCTAAGATAGCATTAAAGGCTGCTCTTAAGCTATCGCCTTCAATGTCAGCATGGATGTTAAAATCTCCCACTATGATGACCCTGTCAGTATTTAATACCAAATCAGAAAGGAACTCTGAAAACTCATCTAAAAATTCAGAGTAAGGACCTGGTGGACGATACAAAGTTACAAAAAGAAGAGGTTTTCTTGCCTTGAAATTTGGATCAGGGAAATTAAGGGTTAAATGTTCAAAAGAGTTGTAGGAATTAATTGTTTTGGGAGTAATCAGTAAGTCAGACTCGAAGATTGTTGCTACTCCTCCTCCTCGCCCAGAACTTCTGGGGATGTGAAAATTTAAATAGCTTGAAGGAGTTGCCTCATTTATGCTCACATAATCCTCTTGCTGCAGCCAGGTTTCTGTAAGGCAAAACAAGTCAATGTGATTATCACAAATCAAGTCATTAACTAGTAGACTTTTAGAGGAAAGCGATCTTATGTTAAACAGACCGCATTTAATTGTTTTAACTTTTTCCCCAATTGGAGTTATTTTGATTTTAATTAGATTATCATGATTTATTCCTTTGGGAATCTTTGCTAATTTATTAGATTTTGGTCGTGGGCAAGACACTGTCTGGATGGAGTAAAGAGTGGGTAACAGTAGAGAAGCTGCAGAGATGTGTGTTAAACTACAACTCTGCTTCCTGGTCTGCACCCTGGGTGGTCAGGGTTTTGGAGGACTAATAAATGTGGCCAGATTCCTAGAAAGAAGAAGAAGAAGAAGAAAGAAGGTCTCCGAATCAGACCAGGCTTTCCCCAAAAGGATTGCCAATTATTAATGTAGCCCACGTTGTTTTCAGGGCACCACCTAGACAACCAGCGATTGAATGACGACATGCGGCTAAACATGTCATCACTGGTCAGATCAGGGAGGGGACCAGAGAAAATTACGGAGTCCGACATTTTTTTGGCAAACTTACACACCGAAGCAACACTAATTTTAGTGACCTCCGATCGGCGTAACCGGGTGTCATTACCACCAGCGTGAATAACAATCTTACTGTATTTAACCTTATCCTTAAGCCAGTAGTTTCAGGTAGGATTTGATGTCGCCCGTTCTGGCCCCCGGCAAACATTTGACTATGGTCCCTGGTGTCTCTAATGCCACGTTTCTGACTATGGAGCTGCCAATCACCAGAGTGGGCTTCTCAGTGGGTGTGTCACTGAGTGGGGAAAACCGGTTAGAAACGTGAACGGGTTGGTGGTGACCAGTGGGCAGAGATCCACGACTACGCTTTCTGCGTACAGTTACCCAATCGCCTGGCTGCTCAGGCACTTTTGGAGGAGAGCTACGTGGGGGGCCTACTTTAACTCCTGGATGTTCAACAGCCTGAAGCCTGGATTCTAACTCTGACACCCTCGCCTCCAAAGCTACAAAAATACTACACTTATTACACATCCCATTATCACTAAAGGAGGCAGAGGAATAACTGAACATCTGACACAGAGAGCAGGAGAGAGGAGAGGAAGAGTTGGAAAAGAGTCAAGGGAGGGAGAGAGAGAAGCCATAGCAATGCTAAGCTAGCGCTAGCCTAGGCTAGCTACTTCTTGCTATCAGGAATAAAACCGTGTGAAACTGACAAGTGCTCAGTAGAAAAGTACAGCAGAAGGTGCTATGTTTTAAAGTAGTCAGTTAGAGTTACTTAGATACAGAGATATCACAGAGAAAATAACTTAACTTCAGATGGAGATCCTCTGAACAGCTGCACACTCAGTTGCACTCAGTTGCAAGTTTTCAACCAACGTTATCGTGTGATTATATTCTGATTTCAGGGAAAACCATAAAAATATATGTTCTTCCATCTTTATCTTACGGAAGAGAATTAGGGCCACTGAAAAAAATAATAAAGTTAACTGATTTTTAAATTTTATTTCAGTTTAACATGGGGAAAAAAGTCAGAATTCTGAGAAAAAAAAGTCAGAATTCTGAGATTAAAATCAGAATTCTGAGGAAAAAAAAGTCAATTCTGAGAAAAAAGTCAGAATTCTGACTTTTTTCTCAGAATTCTGATTTTAATCTCAAAATTCTGACTTTAATCTCAAAATTCTGACTTTTTTCCCCATACTAAACTGAAATAAAATGTAAAAATCAGTTAACTTTATTTTTTTTTTTTCCACTGGCCCTAATCCTCTTCCGTATTATCCAGTCATGTGTGCGAAGGCACAGAAAAAAATAAGTCATAAAACAAATAAATGTGGAAAAAAGAAGTTTATTCTGAAATGTTGATCATTTGAAAAGTGGTTGCCGTTGTCGAACAGTTCTGATGATGAAAACCTTTTAACACAATATGTGAAAAAAAAAAACAATTGACAATAATCCGATTTGAAATAGTCTTCATATCAAATATGTGTTGAGAAATGCAGAGTATTACAGTAAGCAAGTTGTCACCATTTTAACAGTTAAGGAAGCTTAAATAAATAAGGTGCCCACAAGATTTTTATCATTTCATGTCCCTGTGACAGTTTTATACTCAAACACGTCTACTTATCTTCCTGAGATTCTCTGTTTACATATTTTTGGTCTTCACCAAAAATAAAATCCTAACCAGACATCAGTGGCGTTTCTTTCTGATTATTTCTAACTTTTTCAATAAATATGTAAACATGGCAGTTTAGTCTCTTTCTACTGCTTTAAGTTCTCCAGACTGAAGGCACCCTAACAGCAATACCCCCGCTTCCATCCATGCAGACGTCTGTTAACATTTGGATTGGTTTTGGCGACAGATTGACGCAGATTTAGGCAGTAGAGTGCTGTGAAAGTCTCTGACCCTTTTGATGAAATAAGACCCGCTACTTCGACGCATCTCTTAGAAAACCATCGATCCTACACGTATAAATAAAAAGCAGCGCGTATGGATCAACAGCGACACTTATGTACAGTATTTAATTCGCCTTTCACATATTTTCCTCTTAATTCCTTTGGCACACGGACAGCTGAAAGCTGGGTACCAGAGTCATCGTCTATTAATCGCAGTAGGAGCGTCTACGGCTCCAGATCAATGCCACCAGTCCTTTCCTATTACAGAAAATAATATATACACACATTTCCACATGGCTGTCAGCCTGTAACAGTAAATCTAATGCAGTGTGGTTCAATAATAAGTGTACAGAACGGAGCCTTGCAGGCACTTTGGTTAGCAACCTGGGCGGCTGCTACGGTTATGGGGAAAAAACAAAGCAACCTTTAGTTGCGTCAGAACGGGGTGGACGGAAATGGTTTCGTAAAGCAGCAGCCTGCTGTAGCACGTTTCCTACTGATGCTTTGGTTTGATGGAAATCTAACGTGAACTGCAACGTTTCCCTTTGAGCGTTGGTTTGGGAGAAGCTAGGCTAACTATTTACAGAAACACGTGTTGATTGTTGTGATATCTTCTATTTCCTCCCGTACATCCTTTCTATATCGTTCAGATAGTGGTTTTTCAGCTCTTTCCTCTTCAACTTGAACGCGTCCGTGACGAGGCCGGTCTCCGGGGTCCACGGCTCAGGGCTCAGACGCACCTTCACTGGAACCTCAAATCGCTGGAGTTTAACTATTAAAAAGCAGAAAGAAGCAGAGTCAGAAAGTCTTACAAGATATACAAAAAGAAATAAATTAGAAAGGGAGAGAAAAGGGATTAGAGATTTTTAATCTGATGTGGAGCAATATTCTGTCTGGGTTCTGAGCAAGGCTCATCTTTATCACGCTACGTTCACACCACACGCACTTTACGCAGCAGAAACTGCTGCTTTACATGCAAAACCAATGGTTGACGCGCATCAAAATGTCCTGCAGCACGTCGACAGCAGGAGCAGAACATGTTGATGCATCTGAGGCGCGTAAAGCGCTTCAGAAGCAGCAGCTGCTGGAAATGAAAACATTGAACTTTAGCTGCTGGACGCGCCGCATCAACCAATCAGAGAAGCTGATCTGGGAGCTGGCAGGGAGTCAGACGCAGCACTGCTGATGCAGAGCGCTATGATCACTCCTCTGAAACAGTTTATTAATGGCTAAATTAACTTAGAATCTAGAAACCTGCTGGAAGAATATGTTGGCTTTTATTAATCCCCATAAAATGATGCTTGTGCCTCATGTGCGTTATGCAGAAGTTAGTAAGTTCTGGACTGGTTATGAATACTCTATCTATACGCCCAAAATGGAAAAACTCCACAGAAAATTCAGCGTCTGCCAGCGTTTCAGGAGATTCTGGAACGTCAGTTCAGACGCTGGATAAATCAGCAAGGTGTGACCTCACTGGTGGTGAGTCTGACATATTGGAAAATTTGCAAATCTTCTTTCAGAAAATAAGCTTATATGAGCAATATGCAAACAGCAACTTTTAACCAGAGCGTGCACGAGGAGAAATGGGCCCTTGCACGCCCTCGCACGTGGGCACAGGGCTGTGCATGCAGAGGGCGGGTCTTTTAAAAAACAAAATCATGAAAATATTCCAGTATACCTTTAAAGAGACTAAACTGGCTGCTGCAGCTCTCAGTCGGCCATTAAAATATATGCATGCTAACGTTAGCCTAGCCCTTCAGCAAACTGCCAGTAGCGTGTTGAATCTGAACATCCTCAGGACATTATTTTAGCTTAAACAGAAACAAATGAACTTCAGAGACGGATAGAAACCGACTGAGGCGAGCAGACGATGAAATGATTGTTTCTATTTTTAAGTTTAGAGTTCAAAGCTCATCTGGGCACAGAATCGACCAAACATCCAGCAGTCGTCTCTCACTTTTAGCTGCGACCTCCTTGATCTCCTTCAGAACCTCTTTTTCCATTTCAGGGTGGTTGCAGAGCTCCTCCCATTTCCCCTCCACGCCTCTCTGCTTGGCGAGCTCCGTCAGCCTTTTCTGGTTGGGAACCACGAAGCTGACCACATAGTTTTGGTCGCTACGGAAACGGAGGATAGAAAAGGGGTCAGTGTGAAGGAGTTTAATGTCTTTATAGTGATGACACAGAAAGAACAAACTTCCCCTTTCCTGGACAGGGATGTTTATTCCTACAGGACATCGCTGCCTTTTCATTTGCATTTACTAGCAGAGTCTATCTCCTCTACATCTATAAATATTTGAATATATGAAAGCGTCCTAACTGACAAACAGAGGAAGGTTGTTACCAGAGGAGCGGTAATAAAGACTCATTCAGCCGTGTGTTCGATCCCAGCAGGTTCTGCGTTCTGGTTTTAATCTATATTACCATTTCTACGTTTAGGTCTCCACTGCTTTACCTGATTTTCTCTCTACATCTCTAGAAGAAATCTAAATTAGTCATTTTTTCTTAAAATAAGTGCATTTTTACTTTAATTGTGGAGGTAAGTGAGACACTTTGCCAATGGAACAAGACAATTTACGTTTAAAATTAGAAAAAAAACACACATTGTATTATTTCAAGTTAATATTTTCCAATTATTTTAATTTAAGAGTTAAAAAAAACTCATTCCATTGGAAGATCATCTTATTTACCTGCTCAAATTAAGGGTAAATACACTTAATTTAAGAAACGTTGACTTATTTCTAGATGTTTTTTTTGCAGTGATGCTACGTTAAAGGTGAACTTCCTGGATCTATTAACCAGGAGAACATTTTTTATCCAATAAAAAGCTTCTGTAACGAAGCGTGATGCTGTCAGACGCACTTCTATGGCACATTTCCAAATATTTTAGAGCACAAGCAGCCGCATGTTTGTCTGAACTCGTTTGCTTTTATTAGAAACCTGAAGGTAGAGAGGAGAACCCCCCCCACTCAGTGGGAAAGGAAATTATTCTGTTTTCTTATTTCAACCGTTGCGTATATTAGCTGCAACACATGAATCAGGATGCTATGACCGAAAACATTTGATTGACAGATGACCGTTGATATATGATTGGCCGAATTTAGTTGTTCAGGCTGACGTAGAACTAACTGGCCTGCAGAAGATAACGGAAAAAACACAGATTTTAAGAAAGGATTTCTTACAGATTTTCATTATTTTATTAACTTTTTTCTAAACTTCGTGTTGATTTTTCCAAATTGCTTTAAATAACTTCTTAGCTTTTCCTTACTGAGGAAAATCTGCTTCCAGAAGTCAAACTAAACTGAATTGAAGAGAATCTAAGCTGTAAAAGACAGCATGAAAAGAATAGAGTCTGTTAAACTGAATCTGAAAAAGAAATATGAAAAAAAGTAAAAAAAAAAAAAGGAAATTTAAGACATTCAAATATGTTTTTCCTTCGACTTTAAAAGTCGAGGGAAAACAGAAAAGTCCAGTGGATTGTTTTTAACTTTTTTTTGGAACATATTTATGTTGTTTTTATATTTGAGATGGAAAAAATAAAATGTCAAAGAATTAAATCTTTACATTAAAAGATTTAAGTAAAAATAGTCTTTATTTTATAATCAGTTATTGTACTTTTAGACAATCAGCTGTTGTGAAATTCTTGCATCCATGCCTCCTGTTTTTCCTCTGTTAATGTGAACATTTCAGAGCTCTAAGCAAGCAGTCCTGCTACCATTTATCTCTGAGCAGAGTTCAGTCAGGACACGTTTTACGAGATTAAGCCTACCGACCTGTTTGTGGTAAAGGCTGAAGGCTCTAACGTATCAAACATCTTGATTTCAGCCTCATTTGAATTCCCCGTCTCCGTCTGTGAGTGTTGGACCTGCAGGAATCCCGGCCATGAACCAGCTGCCACACTGACTCACCTGTTAGCGTAAGCGCAGATGTTGTCGATCAGAGAACAGTTCTTCAGAGCAGATTCCACTTTGCCCAGAGAAACGTACTCCCCAGCCTGCAGCTTCACCAAATCTTTTTTGCGATCTTTAAAAAAAACAAACAGAAAACAAAGTGGCATGAAACCCGAAAACCGAGACCTGAAGGCGTAAAATTGCCTGGAATAGTCATTCCAAAAAAGTTAACAATCAGCTGGACTTTGTTTCCAGGTTTTAAGACGTTTCTCTTCCATCCAGGAAGCTTTTTCAATCCAAAATGTCAGAAATAGCGTTTAGTTCCAGGTTTTATCCAGCAGCCCAACAAAGCCTGGTTTTAGTTTAGAAAACATGCAAATAGAAACGGATGAACGGGTCCCCCCCTTTGGAATGGGGGTCGTTTGGCTTCTTTGTTAGCCTGCAATGCCCCATACCTGTCTATGTCTCTGAAAGGGGGGTCGTTAGGGGGAATAGTTGGCCTGGCTGAATAGGCTGCTGGATAAAACCTGGAACTAAACGCTATTTCTGACATTTTGGATTGAAAAAGCTTCCTGGATGGAAGAGAAACGTCTTAAAACCTGGAAACAAAGTCCAGCTGATTGTTTTTAATTGTCTTTTTTTGGAATGCAGCTTCTCTGCCAATAAACGGTAAAGTTAAGTTGATTGGATGGGAATATACTGACCTACGATCTGCAGGCAGCCATCAGGGTAAACCTCTCCGATGTCTCCGGTGCAGAACCACCTCTGACCTTTTTCATCCACAAAAAAGTCCTGATTGTTGCCGTCTTGCCTGAAGTAGCCCATGGTCACGTTGGGACCACCGATCAGGATCTCCCCTCTTGGGTTGGGCTGGTCTTTGCTGGTGTAGCCACCTGAGGAGTAAATAGAGCGGTAAACAGACCGCCGCACGCCATCATCATCATCATCATCCTGGCACCTAAACCAGTTCCTGTTCTGCACAGCGCGTCCAGCGTGTAGCAGCATGTTTTATAGGCGTACCTTCGGTCCAATCTCTGAGCTGAATCTCACAGCAGATCAGAGGAGCTCCGACGCGCCCGGTGCTGAAATCTGCAACTGTAGACAGAACGCTTATTTTAACGTTTAATAGAGAGATATTCAAAACTGTTTTAGATGTTTTTAAATCAGTCAACAACAGCAGACATGCACCTAAACAATGGAAGCAAATAAAACACATGAAAAGTAGGGCTGTAACAATTATTCAGATTAATCAGTTATTGAAATTATCTTTAGCTAATTTAGTAATCGATTAATCCTTAACTGGAGGATAGAGAATCTAAAACGTCTTTATCCGACAGAGCGACCAACTTAGAGAAGGAATTATACAAAGATTGTAAAAAATAAATATGAACATTCCGTCTGTCAATCTGCTCGATCCAGAACTGCTCAGGTGGAAAAGTTTTTGTTTTATCCGTTTAATTCGTACAAAATCTTCTTTAAGGAACCTTTGGCTATCTGATTATTAATCGATTAATCTAAAGAATCAATTTGTAAAATAGTCGTTAGTTGCAGCCCAAAGGAAAATAGAATAAAATGTAGAGCCTGGCGCTGCATTTTATTCTATTTTTCTATTAAAGATTTATAGTTGAAAAATATCTAGCTGGAAGTTAAACTTCATCCACAGGATTTCAGTTAATCAGGCTTCAAAAATCTGAAGAAAGTCAAACCCACAGCATGATGCTGCCACCGTTATGCTTCACCTGTTCAAAGTTAGCTTTCATCCACAAATTGGGTCTTTATAAGCAGGACAAAAATGCTCGCTTGGAATTTTATTTTATTTTTTAATGTCATTCCTAAAGCTAAACATTAATAAAATCAAGTTTAATGAAGTCTATTCTATTGTTTTATGAGGACCGGGTCCAGCTGATGTTTATGTATTTATAGAAATGGCCAAAACACAGTCACATGGTGTTTCATCCACACCATGTATTCAAAAATACATTTTGTTTTATAGCTGTATAAATAAATAAAATGAGATGTAGAATCCCACCTGGCGTGGTGACTCTGCGGGAGTAATACACCAGCAGGTATTCATTTTTAGCCCCGCCCACTAACGGCGGGCATCATTGGAAACTAGACGTTCAGACCTTTCCGAGGAGGGGTCGAAGGTCATAGTGAGACCATTTCAGATGATGTAACCGGCATGCGTTACATAAGCTGCTCTGTTATTCTTATTTTCTATCCAGTTTGGTGATTTTATTGGTAAATTTCAATGAACCAACGACTAAATCTGAGGAGCAAAGGCTTTGTCTCATGCAGAAGGTCTCCAATAATGGAAATCAGTATATTTGTCTGATCAGATTCCCTTTTATGAGTGGAAAAATGCATTTTTGCATAATTTGGTCACTTTTGGCATTGTGTTAAAATGATATTTCCTCCTAGCTCACTGCCCACTAAAACCTAAACGTGCTTTAATTGATTCAGTCCAAATTAGCTTGAGCTATAGTCAAGATGTTGATCAATAAAGCCTCAGGGTTCATCCAGAGTTTCTAATGGGCTTTCATGGTGTTTCGCAATTTTTAGTTTGGAAAAATTTGGCGAGGCAAAATATTTTTCATTTTTTCTTAGTTTAATCACCTATAAATCAGACATGGTGAAATTTAAAATAGTTATTCCACCTGAAAGATAATCCTCAATGCCTTTATGTTCAACAATTACAAACAGTTGTATTTCTAATTTATAGTTTGGGAGCTGGACTTTAATTGACATATGTAATTTTAGGCAGAATCTGTTTCTACGACCCTAAGGGGTTAAACTTCCCCTCAGCTGAGACCCTGAACCTTTAAAGGAATAGTACACCCAAAACATGATTAGCCTTCATTTTCTACTCACCCCCATGCTGAACAACACTCTGGAGTACTTTTTGGATATCTCAAATGCATCTGGAGATCTGGGAGGCTTCTTGCTGTCTGCTGACATTCAAATAATGGAGGTCTATGGCGCCCGAGGCAGAAAGGTCCATAAAAGTCCACAAAAAACGTGTCAATATTCCTCCATACTGCTCGTCCAATGTATTCCAAGTGTCCTGAGTGGGTAGCGTCCATAATTTACTCGAAACGAAGTCATTTAGAATGTTTTTAGAGCATAAACAGTAGTGTATAGGATTTCCTGAAAGCGCGTTCACGAGTCTACGGAAACCGCGGCAGACCAAACCAGATGAAAGTGCGCATTCAGCTCGGCAAAGAACTCATGCTCTTCCTCAACACTGAAGTCCTCAGACATTTTTCTTTCGTTGTTTCTTTCTTTGCACAGGTAAACAGCACATTTCTTCTTCTACGCTTGCATTATCGGCAGAGCAGACGCTGAATGCGCACTTTCATCTGGTTTGGTCTGCCACGGTTTCCGTAGACTCGTGAACGCGTTTTTAGGAAATCCTATACACTACTGTTTATGCTCTAAAAACATTCTAAATGACTTCGTTTCGAGTAAATTCTGGACGCTACCCACTCAGGACACTTGGAATACATTGGACGAGCAGTATGGAGGAACATTGACACGTTTTTTGTGGACTTTTATGGACCTTTCTGCCTCGGGCGCCATAGACCTCCATTATTTGAATGTCAGCAGACAGCAAGAAGCCTCCCAGATCTCCAGATGCATTTGAGATATCAAAAAAGTACTCCAGAGTGTTGTTCAGGATGGGGGTGAGTAGAAAATGAAGGCTAATCATGTTTTGGGTGTACTATTCCTTTAAGATCCCAATGAGTGGCTGAGATGAACTCACACACAGCTGGGCTGCATTTACTCCTCACGTTTGCTCCCAGGAGGCTAATTGTTCTGGTTCGTACCTTCTGTGATGGTGCCGGCTCCACAGGTTTCGGTCAGGCCGTAGCCCTGGCCCACCGGACAGCAGAAGCAAACGTTCATAAACCTCTGAGTGGCCGAGGACAGGGGGGCTCCACCTGACAGCATCATCCTCACGCGCCCACCCAGCAGTTTCTTCACTTTCCGGAACAACAAGCTGCAAAAATGTAGACCAGAGCGTTACTCTAACTAAAAACTATCAAAGTGACTGAGCCACGGATGAGTGGGGGGGGCATGCAGGTTATTTACATGTTGCAAAGAGGAGCATCATAGCCCCTCTTGACCTGCTCCAGTTTATATTTGTAGCCCAGAGTAAACAGCGTCCTCTGAACGTAGCTCATCTCCTGCACTTTACTCATCACATTCCTGTTGATGCGATCCATGATTTCCTGTTTTAGGAGGAAAACAGGAAAATAAGCAACGAGAGAAGAAGAGTTTCTGATGAAGCGAATGAAAAAAGGCGGGATTCTTACCGGCACAGCTGCCATCAGAGTGGGTCTGAGCACAGAGCAGTCTCCTTTGCTTCCTTTCTTTATTCTGGTGGACTAAAGGCAACAGAGACAACTGAAGAGCAGCAGATATATTCTGACTAAAGTAGGACGGGTCAGACCGCTGCGACGGCGCACAGCGGCGGGATGAGTCACTCTACCTGATCGGACAGAGTCTGAGGGGAGGAGTAACCGATGCGGCAGCCGTACGTTACGCAGGAGATTTCAGCCGTCATTTCCAGAACGTGAGCCAGAGGCAGATAGGCGATGTACGTGTCCTCAGGCCTAAAAAAAAACACAAATCCGTCATTCCCGGTCAGGACTACCAGCTCAATTCTATTCAGTTTATTTCTATAGCTCCAATTCCCATCATGTCATCTCAGGTCACTTTCCAGTTCACCAGATCATCCAGTCAGATTGATTCAAAGTTTTCTATCTAAGGAAAACCAGCTGATTGCATCGACTCATTGACTCTTCAGCAATCCCTCACACTAAGCATGCTTGTAGCAACAGTGGAGAGGAAAAACTCCCTTTGAACAGGAAGAAACCTCCAGCAGAACCAGGCTCAGTGTGAGCGGCCATCTGTGTGTGAGCCAGCTCCCATGCCAGAGGACGAAGAGAGCACATCCAGCCAGTCACGGTCAGAGAAACAGGACCACACAGGAAAACAGGCCGATCTCCATCATCTATAAAGTTCATATAGTTCCTGAACTAAATGAATGAATGAGGGGTTAACCCCGGCCGGGTGTCCAGGCCTACGCAGATTTTAGCTTTCTAGACATCTCTGCCCTAGTTCAGAAAACGCTGACTGGTAGGGATGATTTCTGTAGTAACATGCATGTAGAGGTTTCATTGTTTTGGAACTGATGGCCGATGTATGGCGGGACACGCCGTATTTCAGCGTACTCATGACTTATCCAACATATAGCAGCGTTTTTGCCATATTTTTTGTACGCTGGTCTAAATCGTCAACCTGTGAGAGGAGCTTAGAAAAGATCAAATAAAACGTACCCGAGTCCAGGGATGCGTTCGCACTGGCCGGTCATCCCTGCGATCAGGTTGCTGTGAACTATCATGACTCCTTTGGGGCGACCCGTGGAACCGCTGGTGTACATCACCACCGCCAGATCGGAGGGCTGAGGCGTCACGATTTCCCTTCCCACTGTGGAAGGAAATACATCAGTCACTGCCGTTTCCAGCTTTATTCTCCTGAATGGACGCTAAGGAGGAGGGATACAGACGGTTCTCTGGCGCGGCGCCCAGCTCCCGTACGGCCTGCATGCTGTGGATGGAAACTCCTGCTGGGAAGCCCTCTGAGCTCACTTTCCTCTGGTCCACATAGACGATGTGCTTCAGGTTGGAGATCTGCGGCAGAACTTTCTGAACAAACAAAGATAGAACAGGGCCGGTTATCCACAGATTTCAGTCTAATAATGAAGGATTTCTGTCACAGAGGCGTCCGACTAACATCCTGCCAGCTTCCATTAATGCTTAAATTAAACATAAAACCCCAAAAAAACACGACGAGTGAAAGTGAACAAAAAAATCAGTCGGACATGTTTGATCAGGACTGACCGTCTGTCTGCAAACATAACGACACATGTGCAGCTCACACTGGAAAAACTATCTAAAAATTAGCAAAAATGTCTTAAATTAAGTGTATTTACTCTTAATTTAAGCAGGTAAATGAGATGATTTGCCAATGGAATGAGTATTTTTACTCTTAAAATTATATATTTGGATAAAATACACTTGAAATAAGACAATGCAGTCGTGTTTTCTTATTGTAAATGTAAATTGTCTTATTCCATTGGCAACGTGTCTCACTTACCTCCTTAATTTAAGAACAAATGCACTTATTTTAAGAAAAAATTACTTGTCTAGATTTCGATTTTTTCCAGTGCAGCTAAATACTCTGCAAAAACAATCAAGAAACAAGTAAAAATGTCTTAAATTAAGTGTAATTAACCTCAATTTGAGTAGGAAAATAAGATGATCTGCCAATGGAATGAGGATGTTTTCAATTAAAACAAGATGATTAGATAATCGGAACTTGAAATGAGACAAATTCCTTATTTTAAATGTATATTGTCTTGTTCCATTAGCAAAGCGTCTCACTTACCTCCTCAATTCAAGAAAAAATGCACTTATTTTAAGAATAAATGACTTATTTAGATCTACTTTTTTTGCAGTGTAAAAACATGTTAGAGTTTCCTAACTGTGGAAAATAAAAGTTACAGTTTTTAATAAAATTCAAACGTATATTTGTGTCCAGACAAAAACTTTTCCGTCTGTCAATCTTTTCTATCCTGAACTCCTCGAGTGGAAAAGTTTTGGTTTTAATTTTCTAAAAAGTCTTCTTTAAGGAATCTTTTTCTATCTAATTATTAATTAATTAATTAATTGAAGAAAAAAAAACAATTGAAATGGCAACTAGAAATGAACGATGTGATTGAAGATGAAGAGTGGGAGCAAGTGAGTGTAACTGGACATAAACTGACTAACAGTCCAACATTTAGGGATGCACGATATAATCGGCCCCCTATCGGTATCGGCCTTAAAAACTGAATATCGGACATCGGCCGCCCCACTGATATTTAACCCGATATTTGATCAGCTTCTGAGTTTCTAAAGTCTAAACAAAAAAAAAAAAATACTACTTCTTCTTCCTTCTCAAAAACTTCTTTTTTACAGACTTAAAAACTTCTAAAGACGAGGGAAAAAATATTGATCCATTAAAATATCCCAATATCTTCATATGCTGATATATTGCCATTTAAAAACACCATATCAATCTCTTTTACTAATGAAATATTGCTATATGTCATCGTTATGCTACGAAATCCCCCGAAAATTCGCGAAATGTTGCCATATTTTTATATGTTGATATATTGACGCGGTATCGATCTGTTTTACTAACAAAATCTCACAAGAATTTGCAAAATATCACGAGAGTTTGTAACAGAACGATGAAATTTCACCAGATTTTGAAAGTAAAATAGATCGATACCGCGTTTTTAAAAATCGATTTGATATCAGCATATGAAAATATATTTGAGTTTATTATTTTTCAAAGTGTCAGAAATGGATAACAAAACTGCTATTTTCAATGACTACTTATTTTTGTCCAGCTTTAACATCGGTATCGATATCGGTTATCGGCTACATGAGTTTTAAAATATCGGCATATCGGATATCGGCCAAAATCCCAATATCGTGCATCCCTAGTTTTATTGGAAAATAATCGTTAGATATTTCAAAGCTCTGCGCGGACTAGTTGGAGATCAGACTCGTGTCTTTTGGTATTAACCAAAGATTAAGAAATTCTGGGAGGGAATTAGAGAGGAAATTTTAAATATCTTGCATGCTGATATTGATTGGAATCCCCGGATCTTCGTTCTGGGAATTCCACCAAATAATTTAAGTAAAGAAGAACAAAACTTATTTGGTATCTTTGTTCACATAGCCAAAAAAATGATAACAATATGTTGGTATAAACCTTTACCCCCTGCTGTAAATCAATGGAAAGAGAAACTAGTGATCGTTTATACGATGTAGAAAATAAATTAAACTTGTCCACTGGTTTATTAGAGAAAAGATGGAACCCTTTGAAGACATTTCCATTTAATATGGTAGTAAGATAAATGTAAACACACAGGTACAGATTTTATAGGCATACTTAACATATTTCTCTGTTATGATAAAAATAAAAGTCACTCAAGAAAAATTTTTCCTTTATCTCACCTGCCAAGTAAAAAAAAAAAAATAATAATAATAATAATGAGAAAAAAGAAAAAAAAAAACATGGATTTTCAGCTTTCTGACTTGTTTAGTTGTTTTTACTCAATTGTTTGTTTGGTTGTATTGGAAATTGTTGTTTGTGGCTTATTGTATTAATCATTTATTTTGAATATTGATCTGATAAAATATAGAAAAAAACATTTGACAGATGAATCGATTAGTAAAATAATCATAATTTCCAGCCCTGATCTTTATATACGCAAAAAGTCTGGATGATTGTTGGATAACTAGATTTTTTGAACAATGTGTCCCTTTGTCCTGATATCCTGGAATAAACCCTAACGTATTCTTCCAGGGTCAGGGATGCTGAAAGTGGGGCCCCCAGGGGCCGTTCACAGCAACCGAATCAGAAAATTAAACCTCTGCTAAAGTTCTTCCATTTGCTCACAATAAATCCCATTATCCTCCAGTATTCTCTGGATCTCATGATAGCTTCTCAAACCACCCAATTAGACACCCCCCCCCCCAATCAACATGATCGACTCACTTTCAGTTTGGTTTCCAGGAGCTCCACGCTGGTGACCAGATGAGTGACGGCGGTTTCGTTCAGTCCGTAGGCGATGGCGTCCTCTCCCAGCGTGGCGTAGAAGGTCACCACTGCCAAACACGGCCAGTCAAACACAGCTGCTGCTGCTCTGCTATGCAGAAGTTCAAGCAACATTTTCTGGTAGTGAAAGTTCTGCATTTGACTTACGGGGGAAGTTGCGCCTGAAGCATGCCTGCGCCGTGATCATCCACTCCGCTCTGGTTTCACAGAAAATGGCGATGGTGCTTTTGGGCTGCTGCCCCAGAGCCGCCAGTCCGCTGCCGAACTCGCTGGCCGCAGCGTCCAGCTGCTGGTAGGACAGCCACCGGTACTCCCCCAGTATCACCTGCAAGCAGACGGAGCTTCAGCTGCCTGGGAATCCCTGAGAGGCTCACAGTATAAACAAAGCGTACCTTTTTAAACACTTTCCCACTGGGCTGAATCTCGTTCTCCTCGCTCAGCACCTCTCTGGTGCCGAGGCAGTCGGCCGGGCCGAAGCGCTGCACCGCATGCTGGAAGAGTTTATCCAGGGTGTCCTTCCCTGGGAAGTCTTCTGTGGCCAAGGACTCAAAGTGGTCCACGGAGCGGTAGGGGCCCTCCGGGGAGCCGCTGGTAGAACGAGCCTTCATCCTCTTGGACTGAGAACACTTCTGGCCAGCGCCGGTGATGAAGTACCAGGGCAGGAATGAAATGAGCGAGTACAACCAGATGAGGAGGTGGAGCGGAAAGAGGAGGACGGACTGGAGGGTGGAGTCTGACTGGGCGCCCATGCCACCGTCTGGAGGAGAGGAAGTGAAAAGCAGCTTTGGGTTTTATCAGCCGCAAATGGAAACAGGAAGGGAGCGCACACTGATTTAACGGCTCAACAACAGAAGCACCGAGTCTGAGGTTTCCAAGAATTCAGCTGAAATGAGACAGAAAAAAACAGAGAAAACAGAAACAATCAGATGTAATAATAAAATAAACTCAGGTTGCTCCTCAACACTGAAGAGATCAAAGAGACGAGATGAAGGGAATAAACTGCCTCATGCACAGAGAGGCCCCCACCTGTTTCTGGACAATAATGAAATATTTTGCAAAAATACCAAAAAAAATAATTCCAGAAACAAAATGAGCAGCTAAGATTTTAAACCAAACATGGTGAGTTAGGGAAAGCGTGTCTGTAAAGCAAAGAGCTGACCATTTATCACCGGAAAATAGGTTAATTATCGGAGGAACTGCATGGGGGTAATGAAAGTTTTGGTTGATTAGACTTTTTTTATTTTATTTTTTTTTTTATATTCCCTCCTGCAGTTTTTTCCACTAATTGAAATGTCTTTAAATCCACATTAACATGAATTCAACACACTGTAGTAAACAGATAAATGGAGGCAGAAGATGTCTTTCAGTCATTAATGCTCACATTCAGAGACACACATTAAGCTGGGCACCGTTTCATTCACAACACCTGTCCCATCAACCAGGAAGCAGAAATACTTTAATAATCCCAGGGTGGGATTATTAAAGTCCCCGCTCCATCTCACCATCAGTTTGGGGTCCTTGGCCTGGAAAACATTGAAGACGCCTGATCTAAATGCTAAATTAGAATAAACGATGAATAAAAACTTTGTGAATTGACAGAATTTTTGTTTTTATGACTTTATTTTTTCCCCACTGGATCACTGATACAGTTGAAGAATATGATTAAATGCATTTTAAATTATTAATTGTTAAAGGTCTTTGCTCAGGGACAGAGAGTCTGTAGGAGTGGGACTCGAACTCACAACCTCAGGATTCCAAGCTCTAACCACTAGACCAACACTCCCCATTACAGTCATATTTTGGCAAAAGGTTATAAAACCACAAGAACCTAAAAATTAAAATGTCTAGATTTAGGAAAAAGTTTATTTACGGACTGATTATCTATGAAAAAAAATAAAAATAAACTAAACGACCGTGACCGATCAATCAGGGAAGCTAAGTTTATCTGATGTTCAAACCTCACATTAAAACAAAACAATCCAGAAATAAGAGGTTTGGAAATGAGGTGAATATGCCGCCTGTTGCTAATAAATCTAGCTCTATGCAGACTGATCTAACTCTCTCACAGCGCGCTCAGTCACTCACCACCTTCTGGACCTTCCTCCCTTTGTAAGAAAATTGTAACTTTATGCTGCTGGATGACTTCAGGTGAAGCCTTTCAGCAGGTCCCTCCATTGATGAAATAAAGAGCTGCTTATCAGAGGCTCATAAAGGGATGAAGCAGCGACACTTTGCCCTGTCTGACCAGACAGACCGCCGTCCAATGGCCACGGCCCGGTGGGTTATGCTGAGGAGGACAGACAGCCAATGACAATACTGTGGAGGCTCACCCCACCGGTGGACGCTGAAAGGCCACTAGAGGACACGCTCTACCCACAGAGGATGTAGAGGAGCGAAAAAAACGTTTTAAAATAACATCTGCAGAGCTTCACGTGCCAGACACCGACCTCTGAATGCAAACACTCCAAAACATGTGGGGGAGTGAGTTTTTAAACAGATTCTAGTGTTTGTAGCTGCTGAGACTGCAGCAGGAGTGGGTGGGGGGGGTCCCATCACCTGGAGAAACTTTTAAAAATAAAAACAAAATAAATTCTGGAAACTTTTATTAAATCCTCAGATGCTGACTGAAAGCTTGATCTGATAAACAGTTAGAGTCACTAGACAGACAGCAGGGGCGGTTCTAGACAGGCGCTAAAGGGGGCCAGTGCCCCTGTAGACCATGTCCTGGCCCCTGTACTGTAGACATAATACTCCAGAAATTCTAATGATGATATGCGCTTTTACAATCACGGTTACTGATAGGTCCTTTGGATCTTTTTTTTTTTCCTTTACAAACTCTGTTTAATTATCCAGAAACAATAAGGTGATAGCTTCAGTGGAATTGAGATAGGATCCCAGTTTTCATCTGCTAAATGTTTTTTTTAAACAAATAAAAATAAAATACTCTAATTTTTACAACCTAATGTATCCGTTTTTCTTTAGTTCTAATTCAGATTTTATAGAAAACTGCAATTTTAAATTAAATTAAGTAAAAAAAAATGTAAAATTCCTGAATTATGAATGTATGATGATCTAATAAAACATGGAATTTTAATTTAATTGAGTAGAAATTTCACTTCATGCAGCTATCTTACTATATTTCAAACCTTTGCTCTGTTTTTTATTTCAAGCTTTTCTGGGCCCCCATGGAAACATGCGGGGCCCCTCCTGCCCCCCCCGGTACATTTTTGTCTAGAACCGCCACTGACAGACAGACAGACAGACATTTCTGTAGCTTTGATGTTGACAGAAACAACGACTGTTTAAATGTTTTAGAAAGAGCCGTTGTCCCACACCCACTCCACCCACTCCACCCGGCATGATGCTGTAAACTGAGTGGAAATTCAAAGGAAGTGAAGTGGAGCAGCTGATCTTCCCTGTTCCCGCTGTCAGTCTGAACAGCTTGGATTCTGGATCAACTGAATCTGAATCAAACATCAGAATATCTCAATTTTTTAAAAACATTTTTAATTAATTTTTTTCTAATCTGGATCAAGTTATATGTTTGATAAAAACAGCCTTATTTGAATATTAAAAAAAGGTAAAAGATGGAGTTATTTTAGTGTTATTATCCTGGAAGTGAAACACATCCGGTTCGACCCAAAAAAACGCACAGAAACGCAACAGGCGCGTGTGAATGAACCATCGCCATGGCAACACCAGCTCTCCGTTACGGACGGATTTCTGACACATAAAAAAAACCCTCAAATGTTTCTAATTTAGCAGCTGGAAATGTTTAATTTATTTATCTTTTATTATTATTATTATTTCTATTTTAAAATTAAACCATTTTAAATTGACTATAGAATCTCCTTCCCAGAGAGGATTTTAGAAATAAGAAAATAAAATGTTTAAATGAGAAAATTGCTCCATGCTGCCGAACAATGGGACGGCGCGTGAAATGATGAGAGAAGCCGCCTCATGTTGAGCAACCAGCGGTAAGTTTCTACCGCACGGCTAAAGCTGTTCAACCAGGCCCGGATAAAGCGGCCTAAAGGCGGCTAAATAAACGGATAAAGCCGCTGAGACAGAAAGCGATAGCCGCTGAGCCGCGGCTCCTTCTTACCTCCAGCAGCAGCAGGTCGTGTCCAAACCAGAAATGACCGAAAGTTACCTTTTCCTCTGACGCTGACGTCATCTGATTCCATAGATCTCAACCAATCACAATCCGAGGCGGAACGATCGTTTTTTTGAGTCTGACGTCCGTCAGATGACAAATAGACCGGAAGTCAGTCATGCTTTAGTCAAAGGTTTGTCATTTTCAACATTTTTTTTCGCGTTTTTTCTTAAGAATTCATCTTTTTTCTGAATCATGTCTGATTCACATCAAATGTCCAAACCGTAGAAAACTTTTTATCTTTAACATTTTATCTATAACCACATTTTAAAAGGCTTTAGCTATATGTTTATATATATGTTATCTCTTTTTATTCTTATTTTTTATCTTTATTATATTGCATAGTTGGTAGTGTGTTTATATCATGTAAAACTGTAACTAGAGCATGTAACAAAAGTAATTTCCCTCTGGGATTATTAAAGTATTTCTGATTCTGATTTAGATCCCAAACTTACCTAGAAATGATGAAGTATTTTAGCTTTAATCCATATTTGCTATTCTAAATAAAAATAACATTATAAATCATCTTTTATTTTTGCAGTGTGAAACCTTCCTCTTAACTTTAGGCTCATAAAACCGCCTTTATAGAATAGAATAGAAAATCCCTTTATTTTCCCAAAATGGTGAAATCCTGGTGTTTACAACAGCAGAAAGATTATATAAAAATGGTCACACAAATATGGACCTTATAAAAATTATTTTTCACTAGATACTAAAACGTGAGGCACATACTAAAACGTGAGGCACAATTTATCTATATACATCTATATTATTATACATCTATATTATTGTATATCTATATAGAAGAATACAAACAAAGATAAATGACTAAATGCGTTGATTATTGTGTGTTTTTACTGAAATATCAGTTGAATATTTACATGTAATCATATCAGGAGAAAAACTGCATATGAATTATTATTGAATAATATGATTCCTACATTTTTGTCTGAATGACGTCGCCCTCTAGTGGTTGGCCAATATCACTGTTTTTTATTTTTTTTTCTTGAAAGCAGGAAGGAAGGATGTTTGCAAGCAGAACATTTCCTAATCTCATTTTCAAGACTCCAAGAAACAAGTAAAGACTGAAACCAAACTGTTCTTCCAATGTGAAGGTCAATATTTTCACAGCAAACAGATCTTCACCTGTCTTTGTGTGTTTGTCTGAAGTCTTTGTGTCCAGTAACAATACTGGGTGTGTTTATGCTTCAAAGCTTCATGTCAAGGATTCACAAAACAGGACAAATAAAGAAAATTAGAGAAAAGAATAAAGCAGAAAACTGCAGTTGGGTCTAAATTAAAATTCATTATTTCAGATGTTTACCAATAATTATGCAAAATTGTTTGTACTTTCTTACTGCTACTCATTTGCAATATTAGAATAAAATGTTTTAAATTGAATAATTAATGAGGCTGCTTTAATTTGTAGTGAAGAAATCCATTCTGCCTTTGTTCTGCAGTCTTTAACACTAACAGCTTATTGTAGAACAAACTGATGGTTTATGTTCATGATTAGAAACTGTTTCGTGAGGAACGTGCCCCGCTTGTTCCAGAAACATCACCGGCAGGGGGCGGTGTTACCTACAAATAGGCCTTCTAAGGAGGAGCGCTTCTTTTTCACACCGGTAAAGCCCTGGGAATCACCTACTTTAGAACTCATTTTATTATTTATTATGATGAATTAAAATATAAGGATGTATTTATTAAAACAAAACACGCATTTTTCTTTTTTTTACTGCTTATTCCAATCACTTAATAAAACATTTATCCTGAATAAGCGCTTTTTCTTCCACCCTTTGCATACCGCATGATGTAATAATGGACATGGTTGCTTCGCTCTCAGGTTAGCTCTGCTTAACCAAAGCAGATTTTTTTTACACATTTACACCAAGCTGTGATACAGAAATAGTAAAAATCAGCAACAGAATAAATCACACTAAGTTAAAAAGATAAATTTAGCCATTTTTCTAAAATAAATTTCACTAATATCTTCTGATTAAAACCCCTAAACCCTATTGGTCACCAGGGAACCATGACAAAATCTCTAATTATATCTACTATATTTTTTTTTTTTTATGTTCAGTAAATAAACATTAACGAAAAAGGGTTGCAGGTCTAAAAGGCATCCTTCATCCAACTGTTTTTGTCTTTCTGGGTGATCCAAACATGTTTTCCAGATTCATTCATGGGCGGTTCTAGAGCCGGGCAGAAGGGGACCAGTGCCCCTGTAGAACTGGTCTGGGGCCCTGACACTTAAAGGAGAAGTCCGCTCATATTCAAAATTCAAACTCCTGAAAGTTCTTTAAATCTGAAATGATTCCATCCTGTTCAATAAATGATCAGTGTTTTTAATTCAGAGTAATTTCCATGTGAATGTGCTTTACTGGAGGCATCCATGTTTGTCATTAGTTCCCCATTGTTTAATTTACTTGAACTGCAGAGAATAAATAATGAACAAAGTTGTGAAATTATATTCAAGATGCAAGTATTTTAGCAGGGCCAATTCAGCTTTACTTCAATTCGCTAAAAATCACCAGAATGTAGAAAATAATGGATAATTCTAAGAAAAATGTTCCTCATAACTACAGATGGCTTGTCATTAATTAATTTTTGAATTTATTTATTTATTTGACAGGGACAGTGTACATTTAAAAGCATTCCTGCAAATGCACCAGAATTAGCCAAAAGGCTATTTTTCATCTGTGGTCCCTGGACAGATATTAAAATTGTCTACCTAAAAAACACAAAGGTAAGCACGGTACAAAGAAAAATACAAATATAAAAAGAAATAAAAACAGCTATAACTCCTATAAAACTGATTTAGAAATACAGAATAAGCTTTTGCTGGACTATAGAGGTTCATAAAATAGAATAAAACATTTAAACTATGTACATATAAATATATATACTTATATATATACACACAGCAGAGACACAAGTGGCAGCATGGCTTGTTAATGATAGACATTCAACTCAGTAACATTTGCTGTTCTTTAAAAATTCCCCATTTTGCCGCTTTCTTTCAGTTAAATCCTCTGAAAACCCCCAACCTTTAGCTGCTCCTGTCCTCATCTCACCCTGACAAACTGTTTCAAAATCTCACCCCAAGGTTTGGTGAAAAGTTGGCAGCACTGGGACTTGATCAACAGCCGATACCGCACCGTGACGTCACTAACCAGTAGGTGGCAGTAGTGTTCTTTGACAAACATGGATGCCTCCAGTAAACAGAGATGGCAAAAGTACTCACTTTCCGTACTTGAGTAAAAGTACAGACACTTGTGTTAAAAAATCCTCTGGTAAAAGTGGAAGTACTGATTAAACTTCTTTACTCAAGTAAAAGTAACAAAGTACAGGCTTGTAAATTTACTTAAAGTATAAAAGTAAAAGTAGAAACCACTTTTTTCATGCCGTTGCCTACATTTTAAATGGATGTCTGCCAATAGGACTAGATCTCCGTTGTGTTCATTTTCAATCATCTCGTCGTCCATGCTACTATGCTAACGCCACCGCCACCAAGCTGCAATGATTTGCCGCCAATGAATACCGCCGAATCTGTCGATTCATCTTGTAGTGGTGCGTCAAATGCAACGTAGATTCCCATCCAATTAGATTGAATTTGGTATTGATGACGGGAAAAATAATAACGGTAACTCCATTGAAATGATTCAAAACTAAAGTAACGAGACAATTTTTTTAAATGTAAGGAGTAGAAAGTACAGATATTTGTGTAAAAATGTAAGGAGTAGAAGTAAAAAGTCGCCATAAAAATAAGTAGTAAAGTAAAGTAAAAATATCAGAAAAATCTACTTGAGTACAGTAACGAAGTATTTGTACTTCGTTACTTCCCATCTCTGCCAGTAAAGCACATTCACATGAAAATTACTCTGAATTAAAAACACTTATTTATTGAACAGTATGGAATAATGTAATATTTAAAGTATTTTCAGAAGTTTGATTTCTAAATATGTCCGGACCTTTCCTTTAAAGGTCAAATAATGTAGATTAAATTAAAACAAATCCCCCTTCAGTGAGATTCATTCACAAAGGAAAAGGTTTAGTCTCAAAAGGAATGGAGCTCCCGAATTGTTAACACCGCCCTCGCAGGATGACCCCGCACTGTAAACATTCGCACCATCTAAGCGCAGCTCCCACGTGTCAGAGGCTCCTCCGCACAAAAACATCTGGTCTCTGAGCTCCTTCTCTGTGCTCACCAAGCAGCGCGTGGATCATCTGGTTGCTGAAGAACCAGCACTTCTTTCTTTCTTTGTTTTATCATTTAAAGTTTGTAGAAACAAACTTCGGAGCTGAAAATATCACCCAGAGTTTCTGTTTCATCTGTCATCTGGAAAGAAGCAACAGCGCGTTGAATTTCTCTGTGAGCGACGTTTAAAAGGCGACATGTCGACTGGAGGCAAAGCGGTGAAAAGCTGCCCCATCCCCACCAGGGTGCTGACCCTGAAGGACTGGTCCCAGCTGCCCGACTGCTACAGCCAGACCCCCGGGGGGACTCTGTTCTCCACCACGCCTGGAGGTTCATTCTGCTCTTTATTTCTAAAGCATGCTCAACTATTGCCTAGTTTTTTCTCCTGGTTTTCTTCCACAGGTGTTCTCGCGATAACAGTTTTTTTTTTCTTAAAAAAAGGCAAAGCTTTTTTTTTTCTTAAAAAAAAAAAACTTTATTTAAAAATATTTATAATACAAAAAAAAAAAATAAAAAATAAGTACAATATCCAGTGAAAATCGTCAGGGTTTTGAACAAAAATAATATGAATAAAAAAGTAACAGAATAAATGTAAAAATAGTGATTAATTAAAGCTAGAAATAGAAGCATGCAAAGGGAATTTAGAGAGTTTTAGGATCCTTTTTGTTATTGCTGGAGGACATTGTAGAAAAATAAATGCTTCCTTTAAAAGTAAAAAGAGATGCATGAGGATTTAATCATAATAATTTTACATTTGTGGATATAAAACTTGGCCAACAGTTTTAAAAGATAACATAAGAATAATTGGTCAGAAATTTATTTTTTAGATTTTGTGATTCCAAATAAAACATCCTTTAAATAAACATTGTGCAGAAAGCCACAGACGCCTGGTGTTCTCACAGGACCAAAGCAGGCGACACTCAGAGTAAATGTTGCAGAAAGTCCTTTTTATATTTATTAAAAACTTTATGTAAAAAAAAAAAGTGAAAATGACAGAAAATGTATAGATTGCATCAGTTTGAAGGATGACATTTTATTAAAACCTTCTCTGCACACTGACACTCTGCTTTAACACCAACCCAGAATTTGATCATAGATCCTCTTTGATTGAAAATCTTTATTCTATATTCATTTATTCTGCTTTAGGTATTTTCTTCACGTCTTAAATGCATCTTTTTCCTCCTGTCTCGCCTTTAAAATGATTCTCCAACAAACCGCCTGCCTGAAAACAAAGGGACTTGCAGAGGGTGTATGCTTAAAAAACTGGGATCGGGGCCGTTTGATTGGCCCCTGGGTCCCCTGTGGAGCTGGAGGCTGTCCAATCTCATCTGCTCTATGCTCTGAGTTTGAAAAACAGAGAGAAACGCTCTGCACGAATCACACCATATGAAGGGGGGGGTATATGATGCAGGGGGACGGTAGTTTCTGCCTGTATAGAGCAGGCTGGAAGTTGTGCAAGACTTGTTTTTCTGATGTTACATCTCACATCCTGCTGTATTATTATTATTTTTAAAGTAACCGCAGCGTATTACCCTTTTATTGTCCTTTATGCTGCGTCTCTTCCTTCTGGGTCCCTTTGTCCAGGATGAAGTGTCCAGAAACCAGTTATTGCGCAACATGTTTTCATCAGCCAGGCTGATGATCCACAGACCAGTTCAAACTCCAGAGCAGTGCAGCAGGAGCCACTGACCTCTCCCAGCTCCTCTCGTGACACGTTTTCAAAACAAGCAGCTCATAACATTTCTGGATAAAGATATTTGTGAAAGCGGGTCGACTTGTTTTCTTTAGTTATGAGGCGTATGTCAGCTTATGTGAGCATTTGACTGTTTATGCGATTTTTTTAAGGTTAAGGGAAGCAACAAGAAGCATGTTTTGGTCTTTAAAGACGGATTATTCCAACATAAATCCACACCCATGTTGGCAAACATGCTGCATTTAGTGCAGTCATGTGAATTTGAACTATTTGCACTGGAAAAACAATCTAGGAATAAGTAAAACTTACCCTTAATTTGAATATGTACATGAGATAGTTTGCCAATGGAATGAGTATTTTTACTCTTAAAATAAGATAATTGGATAATATGCACTTGAAATAAGACAATGCAATTGTATTTTTCTTATTTTAGATGTAAATTGTCTTGTTCTATTTGCAAAAATGTCTCTTTTTACCTCAATCCAAGAACAAATTTACTTATTTTAAGAAAAACTGACTAATCTAGATTCAGAGTTTTTCCAGTGTGCTTCTGCAGGACAAGAGGTCTGGTTTGAAATTCACACCAAATGTCTTCTCTCATACTGTCAGGAACTCGCATCATCTACGACAGGAAGTTCCTCTTGGACTGTCGGAACTCCCCCCTCGCCAGGACGCCGCCGTGCTGTCTGCCGCAGATCCCAGGAGTGACGATACCGGCCACACACGCGCACCACACGGGGAAGCTGCAGGACCTCAAGGAGGAGGCAGAGGAGGATATCGGAGGTAAACCTTGACACATTTAGCTTCTTTTATGCATGCATGTGTGTAAAAACGGGCTGTTCTGACTCAGAAAAAGAGGATCTGTGGTCTGAGCCGTGCATTTTAAAGTTATATACAGTTTCTCTAAAAGCCAGGACTTTATACCCAGAATAACTTAGCAGCGACAGTAGCTAAACTCCATTCTCCATCCTCCCCCGCTATGTTGGTAAACAGACCACTGATAAGTTTGCCAGACTGTCTTGGTTCTGTTGTCGGTTAGGGTGTGACCGCATGCAGCGGGGGGCTGATTATTCTCTGTTTTTGTTGTTTTGCAGACGACAGCCAGTTTGAGATGGACATCTGAGCCAACTGCATCACCTCCTATGGAGTGTTATGTCAAAACGCATAAAAATGCAAAATGCATAACATTAAGCTTTTTTTTTTTCATCTTTTTTTATTAAATACTGAGCAACCTTTAATGGAAAACGTAACCATGCATAAGGTGTTGTGACCCTATAAAAGTGGGTCTGGGTGGTTTTATTTTGGACGGATCGCTCGCTCGCTTGTTTCAAAGAAACTATGGAATCAAGAATGAAATCTGTTTTTGATTGAACCCTTTTTTTTATCTTTTGTAAATAGGAGACGTGTGTTTTAAGTTGAGGATTATGGACGTGACGTGAAAACGTGGATGAAAGGTTTTTCAGTTCATGGATCCGTTTACTTTGGATGAATTCCCTCCAGTTAACGAAGCGTGACTTTCATTAGCAGCCGTTTGGGTTTAGTTTCTGCTGAAAACACAACGCAGAGTTTCTTATGGAGGCAGGATGTGGAAAAATAATAAAAAAAATACAAATAAGCTGCTTTCTGGTGTGTTTCCTGCTCTGCAATGTTTATTTTTTCACTGAACACTAAAGGCCTTATTTGACATTTTCTTTTATGCTTCTTAACTGCGATAATTCCAATCGTTGCACGCAGCTACAGCTCAGACGATGAAACCTCAGGGTTTAGAAGTTCCCAGCTCACCATGTTTGTTTTCACGCTGTGCGACCTCGACGCCCTGATGCGATCCACCTGCTTACGTCTAAAAACCAGGTGGGACTCAGCTCCGCAGTGAGATGGCGCTACTCGGACTCGTCTATCCCGAAGCCAAACGAGTAGAAGAGGAATATGAAGCTCACTAGAGTGAAACGCGCTGTTTTGGCTATTTGGGTAATTTGGTGCTAAAAGCCCTAAAAAGAAAAGGAGACGACGTATTTGGACAAAGACATGGCTGATTTTTTTTATTTAATTTTTTTTCTTGAATTTCGGAGATAATTGAGACACTTTAACAAAGGAATAAGACAATATTTCAGGGTTTCTGTGGATCGTTAAAAATTCATACAGTTATTTTTCAAATTAAGACCTTATTCCACATTTAATGTGAGATTGTGGCATTTAAAATGCCTTATGAAGCTCGAGCGGAAGTTCAATTGAAGAAACTCTGGCTTACCTCCATCCAATCAGAAGCTGATCCGCCTCTGATGCGAGCCAATCAGCTTCGAACTACTCCACCACGAAGCCCAATCAGCATCCTGCATCCACCTTAAAAGCACCTTCAAATCCTCGTCTCAGCCTGCTATCCAGCAAGCGCAATCAGCATCCCATGATGTCAGATTTTATTCAGGCGACAATTCACCCACCTCCATCCCCTCCTCCGCCATCGTAGCTGAGTCGTCTTCCATGACATGACTTCTACCTCAACCTCATCAGAGAGTATTAATCCCAGTCGTCACCATCCCTCGTCTCATTGCAACTGGTCCGGCAGAAGACCACCATGTTGAGCCCGGTTCTGTCAGAGGTTTCTTCCCAAAGAGGAGTTTTTCCTCTCCACTGTCGCTTCATGCTTGCTCATCATGGACAGTCCATGGTACCTGCATCACCAAGCAGGACCTCTATATCCTGAGTCTCTGAGTGAAGTCCTGGTGTCAGCTCCCACAGTCTTCAGCTCAAGCAGATCACCTCGTTAACCAGCTTGGACTAAACCACCACCAGTTTCAGGCCGGGGGGGAACGTCCCTATTCTCATTCATGTACTCATGCATGTTAAAGCATAATTCAGCATTAATGTTCCTGCCAAGGTCTGAGCGCCAAAGACTATACTATCATATCAATAAAATTCTTCTAATTATCTTTTCTTTCTGTGTGAGTTTTTCAGATTGAAATAAAAAGAAATACAATTATAAAAGCAATTTCGTCAGATATATCGCAATATATTTGCGTGGAACCGCTTCCACTTGATCATGAAGCTTCGGAAAAGAAGCTTGAGAAAATGGGAAAATGCAAATTTCAACAAAATGTGCTGAAAAAAAACGAAGAATTAAGGACATGGCTGCAGCCTGTCGACAGTAAAGATGAAGGATTTAACCGTATTGGGTATTTGTTGATGGCATTAAAATGATTTTGTAAGAGCATTAAAAAGTATTAAGTTGGAATTAATCTTCCCTGTTTTTCATGAATTTCTTCTAGAAGCACTTTGGTTATTTTTCTTAATATATTCGGGCAAGTTGGCGTTTCTTTTCATTACATTAACATTATTTTTGCCATCAAAATATCCAGATTTTTTGAATGTTACAAAGGTAATAAGTTCTTGTCCTGGATTCCAGTAACAGTATTGTCTGGAAATGAGAGTTCTGGAGAGACATGCTTACGGGTAAATATTAATATTTCTGCCAAATCAGAGAAGATTCCTCAGAACAACATTTGCATGACTAACATTTTTTAAAATTGCAACCTCAAACATTTTGTAAGGATTTACTGTGAAAGCCGAACTCACGCCCAACAGTGCACCATGGTGAAATGAAATGCAAAAGATGATTTTTTTTTCTTTCACTGGTTTTATTGCATAACGAATATTTTTTATTCACACTATGTTCTGTAACGTTGACGTACTGCAGGTGTTTCCATCCTTACAGTTAAAATATAAGCGCCGCTATGATGTCATTTACCTCAATGTGCCACATTTATGTGTTTGATTTGGTCTGTTTACATTAATCTGTGTCGACATGAACCGCAATCTATTCCAGCACTAAAAATGACTTTAGACAGATTTTATTTGTCATTTTGTTTACACAACTGTAAAACAAAAAGAAATTTAGTTTGGAAACAGCTCAATGGACAATGTCATCTTTTAAAAGTGTAGCCTTGAAAAATAGTGAAAATGACTGTAAATTTACAGTTCTAACAATTTAAAATATATATACGGTATACATATAAATAATGATAAAATATAATAATAAAATACAATAGAATAACCCATTCTATAAAACAGTTGATCAGTGTGATGGTGGTGGGGAAGAAGCTGCTGCAGAACCTGCTGGTCCTGCATTGAATGCTGTGAAGCCTCTTCCCAGAGAGAACAGTCCATGGTGGGGGGGGGGTCAATGATGATGTCACGGGCTCGGGACACGCAGCGATGGGATGAAATGTCTTTAATGGAGGGAAGAGGAGCCCCCATGATCCTCTCTGCTCTTCTCACCACTCTCCTCACTTTCTTCTTTTAGTGTGTGTCAATCTTCATGTCCCCCATGTGGAAAAACATTGGTACAGTATGATGCTGCCACCGCCCTGTTTCACTGTACAGATGCTTTGATTAGTTTTTTGTTTTTTTTGACCCAACAGCATTTCAGCTGTTTCCCAATCCACAGAGTGTCCTTTACAGAGAACTTTAAAGTCGTAGGGAAGCGGCTGTTCCAACCGTCGCATTTCTGAATTCTCCCGAGTGGTGCACGACTTTACACGAGTGAATAAAGTGAATTTGATTGGTCGATTATCAAGGGGGCGGGATTGTTGTGGCAGAAGGTTCGCAAGCAAGTTTGGTTGTGGCCGGTTTGTTGGAAGCATCTTGCTAACCAGTTAGCAACTTAGTGCTAGCAGGTTCCCAATGGGAAATTCCATTGGGACCAAGTAGCACTAAATTGGTGACTTAGAAACGACGCTGTCAAGGAACGCTATGGACAGAGGAAACATGCAAGAGGAGGAGAGTTTAGTGTCGGAGGTCGTGGATGAGTCTCCTCCGTCATCCATTTTTTATTTAGAGGAGGAAAGCGGGGACGAAGATGTTGTGGAAGAGGACGCCAGGGCGGCAGAAGCTTGGTTTGGTGTAGAAGGCTTCCAGCCGTACATGTTTGAGCCCTTGCCTCGCAACGCTGCCAGTTCTGTTAGCTCTACGCCTGCCGAAGACACAGACGTCCATCCCCGTGAACACTGGGACGCAACTCAATGGGAAAGGAAAGGATTGTGGTTTCAACCGTTGCGTATATTAGCTGCGACATATGAATCAAGATGCTATGACCGAAAACATTTGATCGACAGACGACCGTTGATATATGATTGGACGAATTTAGGTGTTCAGGCTGACGAAGAACTAACTGGCCTGCAGAAGATAACGGAAAAAAACACAGATTTTAAGACAGGATTTCTTACAGATTTTATATTTTATTAATTTTTTTTCCAAACCTCAGGTTGATTTTTCCAAATTGAATTATTTTCAAATTGTGTTTAAAGATAACATTGCATCGCTTTAAGCCCAATATCAGGCTAAAAGAGACTTCTTCGCTTCTCCCTACTGAGGAAAATCTGTTTCCAGAAGTCAAACTAAACTGAATTGAAGAGAATCTAAGCTGCAAAAGACAACATGAAAAGAATAGAGTCTGTTAAACTGAATCTGAAAAAGAAATATGAAAAAAAATATATAATAAGTAATTAATTAGAAAAAATTAACGAAGTTTACATTTTTAAGTTTTCTTTCTCTTTAAGTTTTTACTCATATTTCCGTTTACAAAATGTGTTTTTTGTTTGCAACAACAAAATTCACTCCATAACCAATTAAAATAGAAAAAGGTTTGCAGCTGTAGGGAGAAAATGTGGAAAAGTTGAAGAAGTATAAAACTGTAAGGAAGGAGAGTTTAAAATAATTTTAAACTCTCCTTTCTTAGCAACATCTAACAGATCAGATCCATCTGAGTGTGAGATGAAGTGAGTTTAAAGTGACCACCAGACGCACCCAGAGGCTGCTGCCCTTGAATCAGCAGGATCAAGGCTGGCTCTGCTCGTTTGTTCCAGATCTGTAGATCATGGACTGAAAGGGGAAGGTCCGTCTTTGAGAATGTGAGCAGCTGCAGCCTGCAGGCCAGACATAGCATAAACCCAACATATCTTTAGAGCCGCTCCCCCTGGCAGTTGTCTCAGATTTATCACTGCAGATCATCTACTCTTGAATAAATTTGTGTTTCAGCTCTGATAAGGCAGCTGTTTGGATTTTACAGATATTCCTCATGCAAAGGCGGGGGGGGGGGGGGATTTACCATCAGGCAATACTAGGCAGCTGCCTAGGGCCCCACGTTCCTGGGGGCCCCATAAAACTCTGTTTTCATG